TGAGTTCTTTTTGGAGATTAGCCCTCTGTCAGATGATGGGTTGTTAAAGATCTTTTCCCATTCTGTATGCTGTTATTTTGTCTTGTTGACCATGTCCTTTGCTTTGCAGTTTCAAGAGGTTTCATGTATTAATTGTCGATATCAGTATCTGTGCTACTGGTGTTATATTCAGGAAGTATAGTCTGTGCCAATGCATTCAAGGCTACTTCCCACTTTCTCTTCTATCAGGTTCAATGTAATTGGATTTATGTTGAGCTCTTTGATCCACTTGGACTTGAGTTTTGTGCAGGGTGATAGACATGGATCTATTTGCATTCTTTTACATGCAGACATCCAGTTATGCCAGCACAATTTGTTGAAGATGCTTTCTTTTTTCCATTGTATAATTTAGGCTTCTTTGTCAAAATCAGGTGTTCATATGTGTGTGGGTTTGTGTCAGGGTATTCAATTTGATTCCATTGATCCACATGTCTGTTTTATGCCAATACCAAACTGTTTTTATTACTATACCTCTATAGTAGATCTTGAAGTCAGGGATGGTGACACCTTCAGAAGTTCCTTTATTGTACAGGATTGTTTTAGCTATTTTGGGTTCTTTGGTTTTCCATATGAAGTTGAGTACTGTTCTTTCAAGGTCTGTGAAGAATTGTGTTATGATTTTCGTTGGTATTGCATTGAATCTGTAGATTTACTTGCTAATATTGCAATTTTTACTATGTTAATCCTACCAATCCTTGAGCATGGGAGAGTTTTCCATTTTCTGATATCTTCTTCAATTTCTTTCTTCAACAATTTAAAGTTCTTGTCATACAGGTCTTTCACTTGTTTGGTTACAGTTACCTGAAGATATTTTATGTTGTTTGTGGCTATTGTGACACTTGATGTTTCTCTGATTTCTTTCTCAGCCCATTTATCATCTATATATAAAAGGACTACTGATTTTTTTTTTAGCTAATCTTGTATCCTGTTACATAGCTAAAGGTATTTATTAGCTATGGGAGCTCCCTGGTAGAATTTTGGGGGCCACTTGTGTATACTGTCATGTCTGCAAATAGCAAAAGTTTGACTTCTTTCTTTCTAATTTGTATTCCCTTTATCTCCTTTTGTTGTCTTATTGCTCTAGCTAGAACTTCAAGTACTATAGTGAATAGATATGGAGAGAGTAGACAGCCTTGTCTTTTTCCTATTTTAGTGGAATTGCTTTTGAGTTTCTCTCCATTTAGTTTGATATTGGCTGTTGGCTTGCTGTATGTTGCCTTTTTATGTTTAGGAATGTTCCTTGTATCCCTGATGTCTTCAAGACCTTTATCATGAAGGGGAGTTGGATTTTATTGAAGGATTTTTCAGCATCTAATGAGATGATTATATGGGTTTTTTCTTTCAGTTTGCTTATATGGTAGATTACATTGGCAGTTTTTTGTATGTTAAACCATCCCTGCATCTCTGGGATGAAGCCTACTTGATCATGGTGGGTGATGTTTCTGATGTGCTTTTGGATTAAGTTTGCCAGTATTTTATTGAATATTTTTGCATGAATGTTCATGAGGGAGATTGGTCTGTAATTCCCTTTCTTAGTTGTATCTTTGTGTGGTTTTGGTATGAGGGTAACTGTAGCCTCGTAAAAAGAGTTTAGCAGTGTTCCTTCTGCTTCTATTGCATGGAACATTTGAGGGGTATCAGTATTAGCTGTTCTTTGAAATTCTGGTGGAAGTCTCTGCTCAAACAATCTGACCCTAGGCTTTTTTTGGGGGAAGGCTTTTGATGACTATTTCTATTTCCTTATGGGTTACAGGTCTATTTAATTTGGTTATCTGGTCTTAATTTAACTTTGGTATGTGGTAGTTATCAAGAAAATTGTCCATTACTTTTAGATTTTCCAATATTGTGGAGTACAGGTTTTTGAAGTATGACCTGATGATTCTCTGATTTCCTCAGCATCTCTTGCTGAGGTCTAGCTACAGAGCATTTGAGTGTGGTTTGTGAGCACATTGTTGCAGCTTGCTTGCTGGTAGTGACCTTGAAATGCCATAGAGTTGTGGCAATAGACCTGGCTATAGCTGGTACCTCTGCCATGAGGCTGGAATCTCAGAAAGCTAAGAAATGGGCTGGATCAGCCATCAAAGCCATGGCTTTAATCCTCTTCATATTGCTTAGCAAATTAAAAACTCAAGTGGTCAGAAAAAGAGAGATATACAGTAAAGAGAGATTCAAAGATGAAGAAAACCTCTAAATGATTTACAATGTGTTAAAATATATGCAGGCTTGGGAGAGAAAAGAAAAAGGTTAAAGTCCTTAAAATAAAAAAGAAAGAAAGAGAGTAGTTGGGTATGGTGGTACACACCTTTAATTTCAACACTTGGGAGACAGAGGCAGCAGACCTCTGTGAGTTCAAGGTGTGGTAGCACACACCTTTAATCCCAGCACTTGGGAGGCAGAGACAGGCAAATCTCTTTGAGTTCAAGGACAGCCTGGTCTACAGAGTGAGTTCCAGGATAAGATACACAGAAATCCTTTCTCAAAAAGCCAAAAACTAAAAATAAAAGAAATAGAGTTTAAAATAAAGCCATGTCGCACGCCTTTAATCCCAGCACTCGGGAGGCAGAGGCAGGTGGATCTCTGTGAGTTTGAGACCAGCCTGGTCTACAGAGCTAGTTCCAGGACAGGCTCCAAAGCCACAGAGAAACCCTGTCTCGAAAAACCAAAAAAAATAATAATAATAATAAAATAAAATAAAGCCATGTAAAGATGGAAAACACACAGAGAATCTTGATACTGTATGTTATTATGTTCTCTTTTAGTTGTTTGAATGCTGAGGAAGGTACAACAGCTGCCAAAAGATACTTGTTTATAAATGCTGCTGAATTAATCCAAGATAGGTACTTTGAAAGTACCCTGACTTCAAAATTGAAGTCAAAAGGTATGTTACTTTGGAGAAGAAGTTTTGCTTTTGTTTCCACAGGAAATAAGACTGTGGATTCATTCTGAGTTAAGAAAAATCAGATTTGATTAAGGAAAACCACCTGAGAAATCTCTAATAGAAACAGATGCCTCAGATATCTGAGTTCTACATCGAGAACAGATTCAAGACTGCTGCCTGAGATGATCAAGACTCACAGGATAGTCCAGTTAGGACTTGATCATATTCTAAATTTTCTTTAGGTCGCCATAAGATTATCAGCCCCCCCAACCAGCAGGAAATAAAGGCAGGTCAAGGAGAACAGGATAATTCTGGGAAGAAGAAGGTCCTGTTCTGGAGTCCTGGCCCAGTCCCAGAAGAAGCCAGATGTGATTGCCTCACTGAAAAAGGTACTGAGCCATGTGGCTAACATATACTAGAATAATGGGCTAATATACGTTATGAGTTAAGAAGAAGCCTGAGCTAATGGGCCAATCAGTTTATAGTTAATGTAGACCTCTGTGTGATTTCTTTGGGACTTAATGACTGTGGGAATCAGGCAGGACAGAAACTCAGTCAACAGTGTCCCATAAGTTTGGGTATGTTGTGCATTCATTTTCATTGAATTCTAGGAAATCTTTCATTTCTTTCTTTCTTGACCCAGTAGTAATTCAGTTGAGAGTTTTTCAGTTTCCATGGGTTTGTAGGCTTTCTGTAGTTTGTGTTGTTGAATTCTAACTTTTTTCCATGTTGATCTAATAAGATACATGGGGTTATTCCAACTTTTTTGTATCTGTTGAGGTTTGTTTTGTGACCGAGTATGTGGTCAATTTTAGAGATTGTTCCATGAGGTGCTGAGAAGAAGGTATATTCTGTGTTTGGGTGGAATGTTCTATAGATGCCTGTTAAGTCCATTTGGGTCATAATATCTGTTAGTTCCCTTATTTCTCTGTTAAGTTTCTGTCTGGCAGACCTGTCCATTGGTGAGAGTGGGGTGTTGAAGTCTCCCACTATTAGTGTGTGGGGTTTGTATGTGATTTAAGCATTAGTAATGTTTCTTTTACAAATGCTGGTGCCCTTGTGTTTGGAGTGTAAATGTTCAGAATTGAAACTTCATCTTGATGGATTTTTTTCCTGTGATGAATGTGAAATATCCTTCTTCATTTCTTTTGATTAATTTTAGTTTAAAGCCCATTTTGCTAGATATTAGGATAGCTACACCAGCTTGAGTCTTAGGTCCATTTGGTTGTAAAATCTTTTCTCAATGCTTTGCTCTGAGGGAATGCCTGTCTTTGAATTTGAGGAATGTTTCTGGTACGAAGCAGAAGGATGGATCCTATTTTTTTATCCATTCCATCAGTCTGTTTCTTTTTAGAGGTGAATCGAGTCCATTGATATTAAGAGATATTAATGATCAATGATTGTTAATTCCTGTTATTTTTTTGTTTTGGTGATAGTGTGTGTGTGTGTGTGTGTGTGTGTGTGTGTGTGTGTGTGTGCGTTTCTCTTTTTGGTTTTGCTGATGTGAGATTATTTATTGCCTGTGTTTTCATGGATGCAGCTAACTTTCTTGGGTTGTAGTTTCCTTTTAGTACTTTCTGTAGGTACTAGAGATGTAGGTATGGATTTGTGGATAGGTATTTTTAAATCTGGTTTTGTTATGAAATATCTTGTTTTCTCTGTCTATGGTGATTGAAAGTTTTGATGGGTATAGTAGTTTAAGCTTCCATCCATGGTCTCTAAGTGTCTGCAAAACATCTGTCCATGACCTTCTAGCTTTCAGATCTCCACTGAGAAGTCAGGTGTAATTCTGATAGGTCTGCCTTTATATGTTATTTGGATTTTCCTTTGCAGCTCTTAATATTCTTTCTTTATTCTGTATGTTTAGTGTTTTGATTACTATGTGTTATGGGGAGTTTTTTTTTGTCTAGTCTATTTGGTATTCTGCAAGCTTCTTATACTTATATTAATACAGTTTTCTCAAATATTTTTTGTGGATACATAAACCATTTTTAGTTAAGGAATGCTCACTTTAGCTTCTATATGTGGAAATGGTTCCAGGAGAATGCCTTTAAACTATCTGGGAAATAAAGATGGGTGTTACCTTTGCCTTAATTTCAGTGTCTGCTCCGAACTCCAGAAGTTTGGCAGCTATGGAGGTGCTGTTGTTGTAGACTGCATAGTGGAGAGCCGTGTTTTGATTTGCATCAATGGCATTTGAGTCAGCACCGTTTTCCAGGAGAACCTTTACACATTCCTCGTGCTGGCGCTGTGCTGCCTGTGGATATTGTCCCAAGGGAAAGACTGTCAGCTAAAGTAATTCGAGATAATCTTTCCACAAGTTCCACCAAATAGTTACATTTAAATGTCAGAAATTCATTTTTATTCAAGTTTAAAAAAAAGTTTTGAGACTGTGTTCTCATGTATCCCAGGCTGTAATGAAACCTGCATGTCCTGGGTTTGTGTGGCACAGTCCTCAAGCCTCTGCCTCCAGTACTACAGTACTACGGGCCCCATGTCCGCCTCCCACATGATGGGGTACAGGCCTCCCACACCTGGATATCAGGAGTTATACTCCTCCGTCTACGGCTGCACCTGTCGGCCCTAATTACCTTGATCAGAGCTGTACTTAGGTCGCTGTCTCGGGCTTCAATGTTGCATTCATACCATAGCAAGAGGGCCGCCATTTCAGCCTGGCCGTGAGCGCAGGCGTAGTGCAGAGCAGTCCTGTGAGAGAGAGCATGCCCGAGAGCTACTGTACAGCGTTAAGCCGGTAAGACTAGGCAGCAACAGGGACTGCCCTCACTTTTCCTCCAAAGCAGAGGAACCTATTGGAATTTCTTTCTTTCTACTCAGCAGTGCTGAGAAGAGAGCACAGTTAAACCTGGAGGATCCCAGCGGGGATGGCATCACAGCAGAGACAATGGGAGATTTGGAACGGCTTGTTGACTGAGGTCTGCCTGGAGTAGGGACCACACTGGCAAGCTGCACTGCTTCCATAGTCTCAGAACTGAGAAAGTCTCCAGGGAACAATCCGCTTCAGCATCAAGGAAGCAACTGAAGCTAGTGGGGCTCTTGTGGGAAGTTGAGAGCGTCACGCACCCTCTGATGAAGACCGCTGCTAATCAAACTATCCCACTTAGGAGCCAGAAGGACTAATAGCTGATCAGTAGATGGTAAGTGAAGATGGCCACGCTGAATAACCGACTCTGAAGATAAATAGCCTCTCGCTTCAGCTGCCATGTAAGGTCCCTCAGGAAGTAACAGGTAATCCCTGGTTCCCGAGAGATAAAATGAATATGGGATTTTATTGAATGAAGTTTTGTCCTGGGATTCCACAGCAACAAGCAGTTCGTTCATGTGCACATTTACAGAAAATGCTGTGTATCTCAACTGTGTGGGTGAAATCACATTTAAACTGTCAGTAAAGCGCTCTGAAAGCAGAATATTATGGGGGTTGGAGACCAACTAAGAAGGAAGTAAGTCTTCCTTCTTTCTCTTCTTCTTTGCTTCTCATTAAGAATGCCTAGACTCTAGACCCATCCACAGTGTGCAGTTTTCAGGTGCTGAGAAGCCCGTGGTGGGGAGAAAGCCCAGCGTCCCCTGTGAAAGCAGGCCTCGGCCTCCTTTCTCCAGTATTTAGGGGCCAAGACCTCTCCTAGGACGCCGCTGCCACTCACTCATACCTGTTCCGGGCCACCCCCACCCTGCGCCCTCTGACCTTTTTTTCCGGTCTGTAACGTTCACGTCCACATCCCCAAATTCGAGCATTCTCTGCACTTGGGTTATGTCTCCCATGCTTGCAGCTTTGTGTATCTTCTTCACAGGTATGTAGCCCGTGAGGTACCTGTGCCATTCTTGGTTCTCAGCGTTGGCATTTCTAAAGCCCAGGAAGCCCCAGGGCAAATGGCCCTTGAAGATCTTCTTCATGACTCAGACTGCGGCCCTTCACCCTGGACTCTTGCTTATATTGCCTTCCCTTCTCCCGTTAACAGCCTTAGTGCAGTGCTCACAGGAACCCAATACCTCTGGGTCCCAATGTTAGCCACTTCCAGTACTAATGCAGAGCCAACCAAGTCTCGGAATCTCGCCAGGATGCGCCCACAGAGAAGCCCCAAGTTTAACATCCCTCCACCTCTTAGGCAGTTGGCAGAACTGTCGTTGCCAAGGAACGCCGTGTGCGCATGCTCCAGAGTGGACCTGGGCACCAATCACTTCAGGCAACCGACAGTGCTCAGTGCGCGTGCCAGGCTCATGAACTACTGGGCATTCAAGTGTCCAACATGTGCACCGCTAGGAGGAGGAGCCAGATGCTATGCTCAAGGTCTGCTCGCAGTCTTGGAATGGAGCTCCCTTAGAGTGGATCTTCATGCGGCTGAAGACTCATCTCCAAGAAAACCTTCCTCAGAATTCTAACTTTGAAGAGGACAGTATCTTGACTGCCCTGCCAGCCTGGGTGACATAGTGAGATCCTTTCTCAACAAGCGAACAAATCCTCTCAGAATCTCCATTTGGGCCGATTATGCCTCCCCACCATCTCCCTACCTCCTCCCCACCTCCACCAGAAGTTGCGACAACAGAATGCTGTTTTGGTGTTTTCATAGACGGTGCTGATGTGTGTCATCAAGTACAAGTCGATGTGGAGGAATCTGCACTCTCCAGATGAAATGAAAACAGACCTCTGCTGCCTCCTACCCCACTTATTTGACCCTTGGGAGTATGGTCGCTGTGATCATTTTTTTCCTTTTAAATCTGCAGGGTTTATTTGGATCATAGTGTAATAGTTAAGAACTTTACCTTTTAATTGACCACTGTCCCGGACATTTATTTTCCTAATTATGTTATAATGCCTCTTTAAGCAGCTGGGTCCTGGTGTCAGAGCCTTGCCCCATTGCCTAGTTCCTCTTCTTCCTCCCCCCCCCCCCCCTCTTCTGTAAGCATTACAGCTCAGATGGAAAGGGCTCCTAGCAGCCTGGAGCCAAAGATTATCACAAAGTCACAGTAAACAACAGAGTAGCTTGCACCTCTGCTCCTGGGAAAGGTTTCCCCAATGTAACAATTCTGCTCCAGCAGGGGAGGCTTTCCCCAGGGAAATAGTAACAGATCTGCTCAGGTCCTCCAGAGTGTAACAACTCTACTCCCCCAGGTGAAACCTTATCCAAGAGATTTATTGGGAAGAATCCAGGTGGGTGGCTGCCTATGCCAGGGTGGGGAACAGCTGAGCAGGTGCAGGGCTTATATAAACTTCTTAGGGGCACAGTCTTTGCAGGGTGAAGAGTTTCAGGATGGGAATTGGTCAGATTTCAGTCCCTGAATTTGGACAAGCTCAGAGATTGGCTGGATTTCGTGTTCAAGGATTGGTTTTCCTGCTCAGTGATTGGCTAGTTTTTGTGCAGAGTTTGTCAGGGGCAGAGTGTGGTTTTTTGGCTCTGGTTTCAGGGCCAAAGTGTGTTTCTTTCACTGGCCATTCTTTACCTTTGGCTCTGGTTTCAGGGTCAGGGTGTGTTTCTTTTTGACTGGCCCTTTTACCCTACATCTTCCTCCTCTTCCTCCATGCCCTCTTCTTTCTCTTCTTCTTCCTCCTCTTCCTCCATGTCCTCTTCCTTCTTTCTCTTCTTCCTCTTTTCCTTCTTCCTCCTCTTCCTCTATCTGCTTTTCTTCCACTTCTTCCTCCTCTCTCCTCCTGCTGTTCACCCACTTCCTCCCCCTTCTCCTCCTATTTCTATGCTTCTTCCATCTGTCTGGCCACTACACACTAATTTTTCAAGTAAGCCTACTAGTAGCAGTTGCCAGCCAGGATTTGACTGACTCTCCAATTTCCCAGGTAAGACTCTTGAGACACACATTGGCCTAGCCCCTCCCCTTAGGACCTCCAACTGCACCCATAGAACATTCTAACTGCCCTCCTCCACCCACCAAACTCTGGACTTGAAATTTTCACCAATCTTCATCCTGGAAAGCTCTGCCCCCACCCAAGAAAAGCTATATAAACCCTGTCTTCTGTTCTGTTTCCTGCTGTTTCTTGCCTGAGCAGAGACAGCCACCATCCTGTTTTTTTTTTTTCTCTCTTCTAATAAATCTCTTGTGTGAGTTTTGTTGTGTGGTGTGACTTTGTGATATTCCTTGGCTCCCAACTGCCGGGACATTTTCCATCTATGCTGTAACATTTATTCTCTATACTAGTTCTTTGACCAATGTCTTCTCCACATCCTTGATTTCTTACATCAATTTCCACACTTCCCTGCAAGATCCCGTTTCTGCCTGGGCCCTATCTCATGCTTCCTAGGTGCCACCAACAATGGAAGCCTAACCTCAGCACACTGCTGCCCCTAACCCAGCCCTTGCTGACCGTTCACATTGTTGCTCCCAAAGCAGGAGTGCTCAGGAAGGATAAAGCAGAGTATAACCCCCACCCTGCTTTGCATCCATCCTGCCACGCAAAGAAATAACTAAGAAACAAACAATGGTGGGACAGCATACATTAAAATAACACTGTGAAAGAGACCCAGGCTTAAAGGAAGAGTTCAGACTCTGCCATTAGTCCCCTCCTTGTGAGGAGCAAGTGTACCCCTGTATGAATGAGCATTCACAATGTGAGCACCATGGCCATGTCAAAAGAGGCCAAAGATTCACAGGACTGGCAAGGCCTTCCCCCAGTCCAGGTATAGGTGTTGACAGTATGTACAGAAAGTCTCAATGACAGCTATCTCCTTCTGGGTGACTGCAGCCTGAGATGACGCCCCTCAGAGACTAGCTAACCTACCTGCTTGTTCAGCTACTTGTAATAAACATGCTGAGGGTCTTAAGCACCATTCTATTGCTGTGAAGAGACACCAAGGAAACTCTTATGTTAAAAAAGCATTAAACTGGGGGCTTGCTTACAGTTTTAGTATCTTAACTCACACATCTGAACGTTCAGTGCGTCTTTTGTTTGTATGGCAGGTCTAGGAATCAAGGGAAAACACGGCCTTCCTTTATACACAAGCGGATGCCCAGTTTTCCATATGAGGCTGATGTAAACCCAGTAGGGATAGTGACAGCAGAGTCTTATCCCCGAGTAGATGCCATTGTGCCTCGGGTCACTAGAGAGGTGCTGTAGTTGAGATTCTGAGAGCACCTGGTCAAGACAGATGTAGGGATTTTAAGTCGGAAGAAAAGGGAGGCATTTCATGCAAGGATGAAAACTGAGTTGGGACTCCAGAGCAGTGAATAGTGATGTGGGAACGGCAGGGTTGCAGCCATGCACTGGAGCCCCCAACTGACCTGTCCTAAGGAGCTCAGAACCAGTCCATCAGCAGTAAGAGCATGTGGGGAACCAGCTATGACTTTGTTCCACCTCAGAAAGCCAGCCAAGTAGAACAGGAAGGACAGAATTTGAGTGTAAGCATGCACAGTAGGGATGTTTGCTGCTCTTCTGGAAGACCAAGGTTTGATTCCCAGCAGCTGTGTAATCACTATCTGTTCCCCTTTGTCTCTCCGAATGCTATTGGAATTAAACACAATTTTACTATGTTCATTGTTGCTCAGATTTTTCTGTCTGAAGGTATCTAGTCTGGTAGCTCACAACTGTGTGAAATTCCAGCTTCAGGGGTCCAGTGTCCTCTCTGGCCTCTGTGGGCACCTATACACATGTAGTTCACCACCCCTCAACACTCACTAAACAAAAATAAATCTTTTTATTGAAAAAACTTTCCATACAATATATTCTGATTACACTTTCCCCCTCCCCAGACTCCTCCCACATCCTCCTCACCTCACTATTCACCCAATACCAAGCCTTTTCTTTCTGTCTCTTTAAAAAACAAACAATAAAAAACAGGAAACACACATACAAAGACCACAGAAACAGAAGCCAAAATATAAAAGCAAGTGATTAATAAGACAAAAAATGCCCAAACAAAGCATATGAAACAAGTCTACAAAATTATCATTGAGTCCGTTTGTGTTGGCCGACTACTGTGCATGGATGGGGTCTACCCTGAAGTGTGGGTAACAGACCCAGGGAGACTCCATTGGAGAAAAATTATTTTTCCTTAGCAATAGGGTATTAATTGTAGATAGCTTCTTTGTTAGGGGTGGAAGCCCATGTCTACTTCCCACTTGGACTTTTATATAATTGACCCCCACACACACATAGGGCCATAGGGAATGGTATTGCTAGGTGACTTTGTTGGAGTAGGTGTGGCCTTGTGGGAGAAAGTGTGTCTGTCATCTTGCTTCCTCTGTGTCTTGCTGGTGACTGTGTCTCCACCTTTCTTCTTCCCAGAATTCTCTTAGTCTGCCCCATCTATACTCTCTGGATGGCTACAGACCAATCAGTGTTTTATTAAACTAATATGAATGACAAATTATTTACAGCATGCAAAAGCATTATACCACAGCAGTTATCTATCTTATCCTACCATATCAATATCAACCCCCCTTTTTTTGCAGACAAGAATCTACCCGCTGTGGCTCCACTCACTGTGGGTCCTGAAAGCCTAGCCTAAAGTTCTCAGGCAGGTTGGAGGTGTGGCCAGGAACTGAATTCAGCCTTCCTAGCTGTAAGAATATGGTGCCTGTGCTGCCACAGTGGGTCTTACTCAGCTTGTTGTTTCTGTTTAGCCCTGCCAGCTGAGAGGCAGCACCTCTTAAAGGAGCAGGGTCCTTTTTCTTTTTCCTTTCCTTTTCTTTATTTTTCCTATTTCTCAGGCCCTACATGGAAATACGGGCCCCACGTTGGGCACCGAAATATTGTTTTTATTCTTTATTCTTTGTTCTTTGGAGGGACTTGCCACCCAGCTTCCAAATAAATACACACAGAGTCTTGTTCTTACTTGTAAATGCCTAGCCTTACCTTGAATAATTTCTAGCCAGCTTTTCTTAACTTGTCCCATCTATCTTTTGCCTCTGGGCTTTTACCTTTCTCTGTTTCTGTATATCTTCTCTTT